ACCTTCTCTGCATTAAAGATCCTCACTGAGTTTTACAAGAGTAAAGGAAAATATCCAGGATCACTTATTTGCACATACAGAGAGAATTTCCTGGATCGGAGATTGGTACTGAGGAGCATAAAGAACTGCCTTATATGAACTCAAACATTCAGTTTATAGAAGTGGTTCCCAAGCTTGGGTCCTCCAGATGTTCTTGGACTACAACTCCCAGAATCCTTCACCATTAGCTGAGCTGGCCAGGATTTCTGGGAGTTTTAGTCCAAAAATATCTGGAGACCCCAGGTTGGGAACCACGGACCTAGACCAGGATTGTTATGGCAGCAGGAGCAATTTAGGATTCCTTCCTAGCCTGGAGATGGATGTGAAACTGTGGTCATGCTCTTATCACTGGGCTATGGTCCCTCTCCAATATAGCACCTGGGATTTCTTGATGGCCTCCCATCCGAGGGCCATCCAGGGCCAACCCTTGTCCATCCACATCTGCTCCGTAAGGCAGCTGCTTCACTCTGCCTAACAATAGGGCTGGCCCCAAACAGGTGGCCAACCTATGACTTCTTGTGCTTGGGTGGATTCAGTCTTCCTTCAACTCAAGTGTGTCATTTCAGGAGACCTGATATTTTAAAAGTGTATGTGTATGTGTGTGTGTTTAATGCATTAAATGTATGCTGTTGGGTTTGTTTGTTTTTCTTTTGATAATTCCAAAATCGTGTGATGAAATTGGGCACACCATTTATTAGCATTTGAAAACAGCTTCCAAGGGCCTGAGACGGCTATAGCTGGCTCTAATCACTTCCGTGGGAGACAAATCTTATTACCAACGACTACTTAGAATTAGTCCTCTGTAAAAAATAAAATAAATAGTTCGGTAAGGAGGAATTGGATTTCTTCCTTAGCAATGGCTCGAGGCTGGGTGCCTGGCAGCCTTGATCTGCTGTCAAAGCCATGGAGAAAAAGGGGGACTGTCATGAGAGGGGGTGGTCTGAATTATACGCCTTTCCCTCCTGCTGCTGGTAGATGATGATGATGACTAAGTAGGAAAAGGAATCCACATTGCAATGCCTATGGTGCTGAGTTTCAAAAAACTACATTTTGAGACAGTCACAACAATGAGAGTGTGACTTTTTAGGAATCCTAGAAGTTTCTCTTTGGACCTCAGCATGGCCAAGTAGTACAGGCTGAAGACTCTTCCTCTTGGTGGTTGAACCTTTCTCCATTTTCATACAGCAGTGGCTCCCAGCTTTGCGTCTCCAGATGTTTTTGGACTACAACTCCCAGAAATCCTGCCCAGCACAGCTAGTGCCGAAGACTTCTGAGAGTTTTAATCCAAGAACATCTGGCGACCCAAGGTTGAGAACCATTGCTATCTAGTTAAGAGGAAAGATCAGCCATACAACCTTGTGAGTTCTATTCCATGGCTCTTTATTATACCTAAAATATAATCTTTAATGAGTTTGTTCCATTATTGCTTTGTTTTGCTTTCTGTAACAGGAAGCGGCCATTAGTTGCTGGATCCAGTTCAGCGATGGAGCCGTCATGCCCTTGGACATTTACGATGTCAAGGATTTCTCTTTGGTAGCCACGTCTCTGGATGAAAAAGTGGTCTCTGTTCACCAGAGCCCCAAATTTAAGTGGCCCCTCGTTACCGCCGAGTCAGAAGGCCAAGGGCTGTTGATGAGAGTGGAGATGGTCATCAGCGAATCCTGCCAGAAGTCCAAGCGGAAGAGTGTCATGGCTGTCGGGAATGGGAATATCAAGGTTAAGTTTGGGCAGAACGACGCCAACCCCAATACCAGTGACAGCAAGTGGGGCGGGGTGCATCTGGAGAACCACACCAGCAGCCGGCGTCAGAAGATGACTCTGCAGGAAAGGTCACGTCAGGAGGGACCTTATTACAGCTCGTCCATGGGTCAAGAAGAAGCTAGAGGGACCACCACTCAGAAGTCCATTTTGAGTAAGAAAGAAGACCGCGAGAGTCTTCTGGACAATGACAGCCATATGGCAAACATCCCGATAGATTTCACCAGTTTCCCAGCCCAGGTGGACCTCCCGAGGAGTGATGGAGATGTAGAAGAGAATGACCTCGTGGAGACCCCAAGAGGTCTCAGCGACCTGGAGATTGGGATGTATGCACTGTTGGGTGTCTTCTGCTTGGCCATTCTTGTCTTCCTCATCAACTGCGTCACCTTTGCTTTGAAGTACCGCCATAAGCAGGGTCCTTTTGAAGAGCAAGAAGGTCTGAGCCATTCCCACGACTGGGTCGGGCTCAGCAATAGGACAGAGTTACTGGAGAACCACCTCAATTTCTCCGCTCAGCAAGAGGAGTGCATCACAGCCATCGATCGAGGCATGGACCTAGAAGAGAGCAAGTATCTCCTCGACACCAGCGCTCACAAGAACCTCAACGGCCAAGTCTTCCGGGCCTCGGATTCGTCCGCCACTTTCCCCGAAGGGAAGGAACAGAAGAGCGAGCCGACCGCCTCGCCCACCTCCAAACGGAAAAGAGTCACATTTACGACGTTCACCACCATCTCTTCAGATGGTGGTTGCCCTACTGTCAACTCCATCTTAAGCAGCAATGAGGACGATATCAAATGGGTTTGTCAGGACATGGACCTGGGGGAATGTAAAGAGTTAAGGAACTATATGGAACGGTTACACGAAAACGCATAACAAAAAAAAAACAGACAACAGAACCAACAGGGACCATTTATTTTCGTTTGTTGTTTCTTTATTTCCACTCACCTTTCTGCCTTTAATTTGGGGTATCTGGGCAAAGGAACAAAGACAAGACAATGACCATTGGGGAACGATCCGAATGGCGGAAGGTTTGGTTTCGGTGGGACCCTGGGAAGACCACCCAGTGGATGACCGAGATCCCATACAACAACTTTTAGCTGTACTCAGTGGTTCTTCGGAAGGGTGTGTGGGTAATAATCTGATGCAAAACAACATGAGAAAAATAAAATTTGTTTAAAAAAAAGAAAAGAAAAAGAGAAGCCAGCTAATAAGATCTCATTCTTTTGAGCTTTTTTTTTTTGCAGGGAGGCAATAGAAAGAAAAACAGCTAGGACAATGCTCAGATCTTACAAAAGTTGCCTCCGTCTAATTATCGCTCTTGCAGGGCTGAGGTTTAAAATAAGCAGTTCGAACGGAAGGACTAAAGGCAAGGAGACTAGAAAAGATGTGAGGAAGGTAAAGGTGTGAACACAGGGAAACGTTCATTAAAAACGCCCTCGGAACAAAACACATATTGTGGGCTTCGTTGGCTCTCTGAGCTGCAGATGCAGAAGGCGGAGGAGAAGCCGAAGTCCTGTATCACATAGATGAATCGAGGGAACAAGATGGTCCGTTCTCGCTTCTAAATAGGGTTCCTAAACATGCTTCCTTAGGAAGACGGGCAGAGCTCAGACGACATTTGAGCTCTCAGAGTCCAGAAATTGCAGGCCCATTATTTCAGCATGGGTAACTAGCTTATTAGGAAGGCAGGATTGTAACAGAGATCCTGTTAACTGATAAACTCTACCTCTCTGTCTTGCAACTCTCATGGTGCATGATCCAGCTACTTCCAGGGTGGCTAGATGGGTTTCACCATTACAAAATGAACCAAATCTACTGTGAGCACGCTAGAGGCAACGGGCAGCATCGTCTTAGGTTGACCACAAGCCGTGAGCAAGTGATTTATCTCTATTTTACAGCTGGTGCAACTCAACTCATACAACTGACCACATGATGAATTGGGCAGCTAGTATATGACTGGGTGTGCGAATGGAAAACGAAGAGAGACCCTCGAGCAATTGCCATTCCTCATGCAGTAAATTCAGTTTGCATAGGGGTCCTGAAGAGGAAAACTTACATTTTACCTCTTCTTTTGATGAGCTAGCTTTCTAACTTCAGGGAAGTTTGGATGTATGATTTCGCTAGATGTGTACATCGTCACTTGATCTTACAAGCTTCACGTGCTATATTTCAGTTTACATAGGTGTCCTGAAGAGGAAAACTTACGTGCTACCTCTTCTTTAGAAGAGCTAGCTTTCTAACTTCAGGGAGGTTTGGATGTATGGCATTGTCACTTATTGTTTACAGGCTTCGAATACTATATTTCAGGTTACACAGGGGTTCTGAAAGGGGAAACCTACATTTTCCCTCTCCTTTAGAGGAGCTATCTTTCTTGCTTCAGGGAGGTCTGGATCTGTGACTTTGGTAGTTGTGCATGTCGTCACTTGATGTTATAGGCTTCAAGTGTTCTCTTTTCAATTTACAGAGAGAGCCTGAAAAAGAAAACTGATCTTATCTCTCAACTTGGTGAGCTAGCTTTCTAACTTCATGGAGGTTTTGATTTATGACTTTGGTAGATGTGCACTTTGCCATTTGATGCTACAGGCATCCAGCGATGTCTCTGGATGTGTACACAATGAGGATGGAAAACATAGAATCTTTTAGAATTACAGTCCCCAAAATAACTTTCTAATTCTTCTGAAATATATTTCCCCTTCCCCAGCAAAACTGCTGGGTGATGTGCCTCATTTTCTGGAGATTGCTCACCAACTGAAAAAAATAATAATTGCTAGCTAATAATAATCTGCATTGATCCAGAAAATGAACTTCAAGGCAGCCAAAAGATTCAATTTGGGAACAAGAGTTATTTTCCCCATTGAGCCGACTATGAAGATGAATGGACTTCACACACTCGCAGTGCTGCGGTAAGTAACTGCAGAAAATACTTTCACACTTCGTTTAGGTAATGGATGAAACTTTGATCAAGCAAGGCAGGAAATGAGCATTCAATGCGTTGAAGCCACAAGTTCGGCTTTCGGTTGTAGTCCTCCCAAGAGGCTGGAGGAGGGAGGGGAGCGAAGAGGACAGAGTGAAGTTGCAATTCAACTTAAATACAACTTGGAAAGTTTTCAGCAACTTCTTCCGGCCCTGCCATTGGACAAAGATGACATTTGGCCTCAAAGAGCAAATCAGCTATATAATTTTTCAATAGACCTCTGAAGGAGCTGTCTGTGGTGCTGAAACTGTTTTAGAGGTAGGGCCCAGCAACTTGGCGATAGGATTCAGCACCACTGATCGCTCTGTGACATTCAGGCTAAAACCCAGAGCAGCTTCCCCACCCCCATCAAAATAGGGATGACTGGCCTTTGCCAGGCTGATGGGAACTGGAGTCCAAAAAATCTGGAGGGCCTGAGTCGGGTGAAGATCAGCAGAAGGGAATGGGTCATGGCAGGTCAGGCTCAGCAACTGCTTATCCTGTTGCCACAAACACAATCCTTTTACATGCCCATAATTCATCATAAGAAGTTGCCTGCTGTTCTCCGAGCATCAGCTAGTCTGATTTCCTATGGGCGCCACAAACAGTGGGATGAAACGGCAGCCTCGATGTGAATCTAAATAAGACAGGGGACAGTGATGGGGAAAAGGGAGGAGAGCAGCTTGGTTGTGAAGTCAATCCATTTGAAACAAGTGCCAAAAAAGCAGGAGGAGCATTCTGACAGAGGAATAAATCCAAGAGGAAGTCTCTTTTTTTGGGGCTGAATCCTAATACCTACCCCCACCCGAGTACAGAACAAAGAAACAGCTGGTGCATTTTTAAAACACTGGATTGTCTTTAAGCAAAGGCCATGGGCGCAGTGTGGATGAAACAGGCTGAAACTTCTAAGCTAAGCCATGCTTGGCATCAGCTTCTTGTTTGCCAGGTGGCTAATGTGAGCTGAGAGCCCCACCGTCCATCAAGTCCTTTCATCTGGGTAGGCGTCTGTCCTTAAAGCTGCCTGCCAAGGAAGAAAGTAAAGGGACTGAGCTACGTCATATTAATTGGCCAGGAAGAGTCATAAATGTTGACATCATCTCTGTTGGCTCTCATTTCATTGCTTCCCACGTGGGCAGTTTCCACCTGACTTGACAACACATCTCTTAAGCAGCCCCCTTCAACCATGTGGGGATGTTCTTGGCCTGGAGCGATGATGCTCATGGAGCAGGGTTGGCTCTACCATTGGGTAGACTGGGGCATCCCCCTCAAGTAGCACATGCTGTGTCATGCAGCCTTCCTTAAACCACCTAAGACCCTACGAGTCAGAGGATGGTGATCTGTTACTACCATCAAACCGTGTTCCACCTGCTAATTGGGTTGGCTTCCATGTGTGAAACAGAGGAGCTAGCCAGGAGATTTCTGGATTTTTTTTCGCCCACTACATCTACCACAACTCACCAGGAACTCCCCCAGCCAGAATTTTGGCAGCTGTAGCCAAAAAACCTCCAGGTTCTCTGAGCATACACACACTGATGTCCACATGTTCTCTGCAGACACTGTAAAAGGAGAGAGTGGATGGAACCTACTGAACTTCATGTGAGTTACAAGGGGTTATGGGACTGGTAGATTTTTGAGAGCCACCAAGTGCAGAGCTCCATGAGCAGAGAGACTCATCTGTAAGAGCAATATGTTCTTAGTTTCACTTGGTAAGAGTTCTTGGACTATTCCTTGCAACAAGACAGATCTGCCCACTCTTCCAACTGAGGTTGCCAGAATTTCAGCCCAGATCCTGAAACCTATGGCAAGCTCTTCTAATGTCGCAAAGAGTGAACCCCTGAGCAATGGTTGGAACACAGTGAGTGGGTGTGAGAGACAAAGCAAGCTATAATGAACAGAAAGACTAAGGGGTGAATTTCAACAGCAGCGACTCTAGAGCAATCAAGATAACACAGACACAAAAAAGGTGCTTCTGAGCATGTCTGAATGGCATTCAAAAACTGTAAGAATGATCTTCCAAAATCTGGGGTTTCCAGGCTGGCAGTACCGCCTTCTTGGAGAAGTCTCGGTCAGAGCCTGAGATATAGAAGATGGATGCTAAAAGAACAACGTTGACACAGGGCAAGTCTACCTCCAACCAACCCAACAGTATCCTGATAAACTTCTCCTACTTAACATATGGAAGGCTATTTTTTTTTTCATGATCTGCCAGAAACCTAGCAAACACATTTCCGTGTTATGTACCCAGAGGACACCAAAAGTGACTGGAACCAAAGCTACTTTGAAAACACAGCCGTTGAACAGATGGCTTTCTCCCTCTCTCGTTGTGCTAGAATTTGGAGTCATCCAACAAATAGCGGGTAATTAAAGACAGGCAAAAGGATCTTTCCCACCCCCCATCTTGCGTAACTGAGTAATGGAATTCTTTAGCCCAAAGTCCACCAACGTAGCTTTGGAGGTCCTCTGGGGCAGTAGTCCCCAACCTTGGGCCTCCAGATGTTTTTTAGACTTCAACTCCCAGGAATCCTGGCTAGCAGAAGTAGCGGTGAAGGCTTCTGGGAGTTGTAGTCCAAGAACATCTGGAGGCCCAAGGTTGGGGACCACTGCTCTGGGGCTTCTCCAGGCTTTCAAGAAATGCTTCCTCAAGGTCCTTTCTGACCTGGAGAACTCTCCCTCCTGGTGGTCTCTCCTCCAAGTAACTATGGCCACCCCTTCTTTGCTTCCAAAATCAGACAAGGTCAGCTGTGTAGCGGGGGTGATACAGTAGTAAAGTCCACCACCTTCACCCCATAGTCTCCCATCCAGGCATCTTCCAGACCCACATCTGGGTGACTTCAACAAGGTGACTTCATCCCGTATTTTCTGCATGTCTCTTGTTCCACTGATGGGCTCTACACAGCCTTCTTTATTGCCAGGTCTTGGCAAAAGGCTGGT